TCGTGCTATTTTCGCGACGTATGACGCTCGTTTCTTGATTTCCTTTTTATTTCTGCCCGCCGACCGGAAACTACCGACAAATCCGGAAAGAAAAAATCCGATACGAGCCTGTACTCCATCTCCTGTAAAACCAATAAAACTGATGGTCTAATAAGACTCAACGGTTAAATCAATTTTCCATCTCAATTTCCGTTTTATCGTTTAAATATACCAAACTAATTTCGATAGCGATATTTCAGTTCTTCAGAATTCCCTTTCTGTTCCTACATTCTACACAGGATGAAATTGTTGCAGTATTGGAAATTCTAGGCTCTATCTGAGCAGTCGTAAGGGACGAAAAACCGAAACGAGGGTGTGTGGTGACAGTGACGATCGAGTGCAAAGAAGTTTGCGTGTGTAGTGAGAGAAAACGAAGGAGCGAGTCAGGTTATTAGTGGGTTAAATACGCACACGCGATGTATACAGTAGTTAATGGATCGTTGTGACAAATCTGTGCAGCGAATAAATGAAAGTATAAGTAATTACTCGAACGAGACTCGCACGCGACACTGTAACGCTAATTACTGCAACGCGAATCGGTAAAGGAACTAAAGAAACAGAAGAAAAACTTTGTGAACGATGCCGCGCATGTATCTATGAATATCTATTGCCATTCGGTCGATAACTTGTCGATCATCCATCAGAGTGGAAAGAAAAACTAAAAGGAATAAATGGAGTGGATGGCGAGTGAAAAGTATAAGAAAATTGTAAGAAAATTTAATTAAAATTGTAATTTAATTATATTGTGGCGCCCGCCACGGGGGGCCACGCACTTAGGCCTGGCGACTCTTGGCCCTCGAGGCGACAATCTTGTCCTCGAGAATTGGTTTTTCCAAACATCTCCGAGTTTCTTCGTCCTCGAGGACAAGAGTATTGCGCCCCCACTTCCTGGGACTTTCCCAGGGAAAAGGGGCTACTTAAGGAAGCCCTGAAAAAAGGCATGAGGCCTTTTGTCGTAGACTCGCGTCGCCTACACTTCAAAATTCGGTTAAGCGTTATCGGATTCGAATAAATATATTGTTATTAAACAATTTGCCCGAGTAATTACTTTACACCACGTCACTTCCAAAGGGAAAAGGGGCTACTTAAGGGAGCCCCGAAAAAGGCACGGGGCCTTTTGTCGTAGACTCGCGTCGCCTACACTTCAAAATTAGGTTAAGCGTTATCGGATTCGAATAAATATATTGTTATTAAACAATTTGCCCGAGTAATTACTTTACACCACGTCACTTCGAAAATATTAAAAAAGTATAACAAGTCTCGTAAAGAGTCGTCAATTCAATTCACTTACCGCAACAATTACACAAACTATATTCTAAAGGAGAAACAAAGGAACCTTCAAAGACACCACAGCGCACAACTCGTGCATCAGATTAGGCCATCGTAAACCCTCGCAGGTGACGAAGGGAACGGGAGCAGCACTCAAGTTTGGCGAACGAGGCGAAGGAGAGAGAGGCTGATGGGACGCAGGAACCGAGTCGAGTGCCGAAAGGACTTCAGCCACCTTTCATGTAAGGTAATTAACTACCGAGAACCGTTGACAAACACCCAAATCCTCTCGCGAGCAACCCTCGCTTCGTCGCGGCCGTCTCGCTCCTTTCCTTCGGCACACCCCTCCAGCCGTTCTTCTATTTATTTTTCAAGCTGCCGTCCCCCTTATTCCCCTCGGGTTCACGCAGTTTAAAGTTTAACCAGAAACGGTTCCAGTCCAAGGGGTCGTGTACACTGGGTTAGAAATTTAACAATAGAGGACTGGTCCGATATTAGTTGGGATTTCCTTCCAAAGTTCGGTACAGTCTGAGCTGCGATACGGCGTGCTCGTAAGATCGGTCAAGAGTCGAAGTTTTCGCGTGCCGGGACAATCGAGTTGACGGAAATATGAACAGTCGAGGATGCGGAAGTTCGGACAGGACTGTTAGAAGAAACGTTTGAAATCCGCTGGCGAATTTAGCTTGAAAGAGTTTCATTGGGTTATCACTTGAAAATGTTTTAACGACGACATAGGAAAAAGTTGTGGTTTTTTTTTTTACCAAATTTCGTTGGAAATATCAATCTAGTTATGGAATTGTCAGAAAGTATTCTGATTTGGAGTAGGGTGGGCGTGAAATGAATTGAACGTGTCTACGTTTTTACAATAGTATATGTTACACAAGAATTATATCTGGGCGCCGTTCGCAAAAAGTGTGCTTCGAGGGTCTCGTGAAGAGTCCTGCCGATCCTGTCCACCTCTATACTCCATTCAACGAGACGAGTCACCAAGTATAAACACGAGCACGTGAACAGGGCAGGGCCGACTTACGGATTCCAGATCCCCATATCGTCCGAATTTGAGAACGACGACATGACAAACAATGTTATACACTCAACGGAGGAAAGAAAGCACACGTTCACTTCGAAGGCTCGCAAAAATCGAACTATTTTTAGCCTGTTTCCAACTTACTTACCACTGAAAAGTACCTGAAATCATAAAATACACATTTGGAAATCATTAAGGTTTCTGCCTGCAAGACCCCTCGGCAAGGGACCACCATAACTTGGCCCTGAGTTGTAACATGTGACAGCCAATGACCATAGTCGCAGAGCCGATCACGTGAAAAGCGAGGGAGTTGTTTGTTTTTACTTAGTGACTCGTCTCGTTGAACGGACTGTACGCGAACAGGCCCAGGGAAAAACCCAAAGCGCTGGGCCTGGCTTCGAGATGCTCGCTTCGCCGTCTTCGGGACGGGATTTCTCAGAGAATGATCCGATAATAAACATTAACACGTTGCATTTCGCCCGAGTCATCGATGACCCAAATATTTTTCTGTATTTTCGTATGAGAAACATTATTACAAAACGCAATCCGAATGAAAAGTCGCTGCAATCAGTATATCAATTGTAAGGTAAAAACAGTCAGGATAACGGTGGTGAGCGATGGAATAAAATATAAACGTGGGCGGTTAAAGCTGTATTTTCGTATGAGAAACATTATTACAAAACGCAATCCGAATGAAAAGTCGCTGCAATCAGCATATCAATTGTAAGGTAAAAACAGTCAGGATAACGGTGGTGAGCGGTGGAATAAAATATAAACGTGGGCGGTTAAAGAGAGTGCAAACGCAGCAGAAGACTGCACATGGCCCACTCAAGCCTTCGCTTTTTGGACTTTTCTAACACAATTCAGACACAAGGAAAAATTCCAAATATCCCAAGCAGTAATTAACATTTCCAAATTTTCCACTTGCAAACGACGCGCAACTCCTCATATTTTTGAAAAAACCCAAAATTAAATTTCCCACATTTCAAAAATTTAATCGACAATCTCGTCGTATCGCGCAGACTACAGGTACGTTCCAAATCGCGCGGGACAGAAAAAAATAGCGTGCACAACGAAGAGGAAGAGGAAACGGTAAAACGAAGCAATTTCAACGAGAGAACCGCGTACATTATCGCCGCCATTTCACCGGAACGACGCTGTCGGCGGACGACAATATTTCCCGCGTTAACTTGGCGAGCGTTCGCGAAACGATAAAGGCTCCAGAGGGTACTTAGCGCGAATCAACAATTTTGCAGCGCATTTGTTTACGCAGCGCGAGGGTGCACCGCGTCCCATCGTAATATCAGGCCCTCCGCGGTCCACGTCAAATAAAAGCTTCGCCCATGAATTATTTTGCCGGCTAATTTCCCCGGTGGCGCATCGCTTGGACACCGGCCTGAGGGACGTCGCCTGCCCTGTTTCGACACCGCGACGTCAAACTGACTTTATCAGAGTTAGGCTTGACAATGGCTATATAAAACTGTTAATCATGATTAAAGTTATAACGCTCTCCGCCAAACGAATCTTCGCGCGCGTGTGACACACCTACAGGGTGTAAAATAAAATAAAAAAGAGAGGAGGAAAAGGGGATACTCGTGTGCTGAAAACGGGTGTAAAAATGGAGATACAGCCGGTGTTAGATCGTTCGTTCAGATTAAACGATATTAGAAACTATTCGTCGCTGATGGATCGCGCGTTCAGTTTATGACTGTTGAAAATGGCGCGGAGCGTCGAGCGAGAGAGTAATTGGCGCGACGTACACGTGAATATCCGGATAGCTGTACAGGCTATAATCGTGTCGATAAATGGTCATCGTTCTGGGAGTACTTCGGCTGGATGTTAATCTTCGAGGAACGATCGTTACATCGTAAATTCGTGCATCGATCGGTTTTGCTCAAGGATGGAACGCGAAATGTACGGTTTCTCGAAGAAATCATGTTTTTCACATTTTTCTCTGCTTTGTGGAAGATTTAAATATTTGTTCAGAGTGGAATAGGGTAAATAGCTGTTCGCCAACTAAACTGATAGCGAATAGGCAAATGTTTGCTCGTCCAATTCAACCATTGGCTCGTTCCACGAATCTGACACGTTAAATAAAGAAAAGTATTGAACCTTCGAGGCGCAGACTCGAGTTTCTTCGGTTTTCTGGGTCCTCCGTCGATTTTTCACGTTCGCTATACTTACCGGTGCTTCGCTATACCCACCTTTGAATTACAAAAGCTCGAGATAAATGTCAGGGTGACGAAAATGAAGAACACGGTAGTTTTTAAAACTCCTCTATTTTTCATGTGTTCTATGGCAACAAACATCGTGTAAGAGATTCGATAAATGGAAACATTACAAAATACTTCGAGTTAGGTAATAGCAAAGGGTCTATACAAATGTTCCATCGCTTATGGCAACGCGTGTCATCTTACTTAAATTACGTTTAAAGTAAAAAAAATACGTAGGTTGAGTAAAGTGTAGTCGAAAAAATTCTATACAAGTCTCTTAAAATCTAGTAAAAGAGGATAAAATTGTAAAAGAACGATACGCAACGGAAACGAAGGAAATAATCGAGCGATTAGAGTGTCTTGCGCGATAGGAACCCGCGAGACTCGCATTCCAGTCGTTCTCCTGCAGACAATCACCCTCTAATTACACCTGCGATTACGGCAACGCGGCAGGAATTATACTGTGACAACGCTTACTCTAGATTCAGTCTAGATCGAGAACGGGAAAAGTAAAACCAGATGTCAGACGGTTTCCGTGGAGCCTCGGTTCTATCCGCGCCAAAGATTTCTGTCCATGACGAATCGCACCAGCAAGGACAGCGCCATGAGGAAGGTGATCACGGCCGCACCGACCAGAATTGCGCCGTACTCTGTGAATCGCAACAAAGAGAGAAATTTCGACGATTAGAAACGCACCGCGAGAAGCCTGTTAATTTTCAAGCGTGATTTCAATTCTCTGTTAACGGTAGAAAAAGCGACACTTGTCCGCCGGTGATTTTAGAAATACAAATTGAATTTCACGTTGGAACAAGCGGGAAGCAACAAAGCGGCGAGGTGAGCGTGTTCGAAAAGGGAAATAGGAGGAAAACGGAGAAACGAGAGATGTTTACTGTGAAGTCAAGTACGTGTATTCAGTCGCGTTACAGTCAACGATTGCGATAACAAGGAAAAAAAAGGGGGGAAAAAGGAAGAGAAAGAAATGGCGTTGGTAATGAATTTTCAGCGGGTCGAATTATGCGCGGTGGAAAACCGTTAAAGATCTCGTTACTCGCGACATGCGTGCTCCATACGATGGAAAATTTCAGAGAAAAGCAGCCACGTCCCGCCTCCGTTCCCCCGCGCGCACCGCATTCAAACGAATTTATTCCCCCGTCGCGGCGGAACAATTCCGAGTGCGAAACCCTGAATGCACAATCGCGAGTCGCCAGACAAATAAGGCTGCGTTTTTCAATGCAATTAAAAATAATTATCGTAATTGTGCATTACGTATTCAGTAACACTGCCGTCGTTCTACGGGTGAAATGTTAAGCAGCGCTGTTAACATGTAATTATGAGTCAAGTGGAATTGAAAATTATTCCATTCGAAAAATGTTAAAAATGTCGTGCTTCGGTCTTTTAGAGACGTTCGCGAATGTCTTTCGATTCACTTTGCTTCTATGCTTGACTATCGCACGATTCTACATTCGAAAGAAAAGCATTTAATATTCAAGGTTCAAAAGGAACATTCGCACACTCGGCGCTGTTAACATGTAATTATGAGTCAAGTGGAATTGAAAATTATTCCATTCGAAAAATGTTAAAAATGTCGTGCTTCGATCTTTTAGAGACGTTCGCGAATGTCTTTCGATTCACTTTGCTACTATGCTTGACTATCGCACGATTCTACATTCGAAAGAAAAGCATTTAATATTCAAGGTTCAAAAGGGACATTCGCACACTCGTTCCTTTCAATTTGCTTTACTTTATGCTTGACCATCGTCCAATTGCAAATCCGAAAATAAAAAGGAATTGAATATTCAAGGTTCAAGAGGGACCTTCGCACACTCGTTCCTTTCAATTTGCTTTACTTTATGCTTGACCATCGCCCAATTCTAAATCCCAAAATAAAAAAACATTTAATATTCAAGGTTCAAAAAGGACCTTCTTTCCTTTCAATTTGCTTTACTCTATGCTTGACCATCGTCCAATTGCAAATCCGAAAATAAAAAGGAATTGAATATTCAAGGTTCAAGAGGGACCTTCGCACACTCGTTCCTTTCAATTTGCTTTACTTTATGCTTGACCATCGCCCAATTCTAAATCCCAAAATAAAAAAACATTTAATATTCAAGGTTCAAAAAGGACCTTCTTTCCTTTCAATTTGCTTTACTCTATGCTTGACCATCGTCCAACTGCAAATCCCAAAATAAGAAAGCGTAAAATATTCAAG